CCACGTGCCCCGCTTAACCATACCTTCTCGCGTCACAACTCCCGGCCTCAGAACCTTCCCCCCTCCCCCAACGCCCTCCGATAGTCCTTGCGGAGTCGGATCGGTCGGAAGTCCGGCGTGTTGTTCCCCGCCAGCACCGGAAGGCGATGTCCTCGTGGGACGCCGGGCCAATGCGCCTGGACGCTGCCACCACCACGCCCATTTGCAGTAGCGTAGAAGCACACACCTGACCATCATCCTCCTGGATGGTAGGAGGAGCCGCCCCCGCCTTTCCTCCCTCGTAGACGGCGGTGGATGGCCGAGAGGTCCAACTGGTCCACGACCGTCGGAGATGAAATAGGCCAGGTGGTCCGTGGCAGCCACTCCTGCAGGGCCGCATGCAGCAGCAACTGCTGGTCCGGATCGTAGGGAGGTAGGTCTTGTCATTGCAAACGCTCCGCTCGTCTGATATGCTCCACCACCAATCAACATATCATACACCCCGGGCTCACCACCCCCTGTTCTTCGCGTACGGGCCTGCTAGAACGCCGACCAGTACTTCCATCCCGCTGCTCTCACAGTGAGGGGTATGGCTGTTGCGGCGGCAACACCATCGGTCAGCACCAATTCGCGAGTCTTCTGCGGTCGGCGTTTCGGCAGTCATCCCGTGGATTCCATGCTCGCGCAGTTCGGTGCGGCAGTGCCCGCCCGAGGATGATGAGCGTCAGACGGTGCGGGCCGCCAGCTCCGCCGCCGCGTCGTCGCTCATACCGGCGATGTCGTGCCCCGCGGCCTTGGCCAGCAACGCCTGTTTGGCAGCCGAGGCGGGACGGTTGTATTCCATCACGTAGGGCTGGGACACGCAGGATGTGTAGCCGTGGCCCACCTGGTACTTGACGCCCACGATGTGGCCTATGGCGTGGCTGAGACCAACGGCGAAGTTGGGCGCCCCCATCATCGACATCCAGGCCGCCACCAGGCATTGCTGCCTCGCCTCGCTGTCGCCATCGGACTGACGGGAGCGCGGCAACGCATTGAACAGCATCTCCGCTGCCGACAGTACTGGGGCGTCGATGGCCGGCTGGTTGACGCGGCAATACAGACGCTCGATGCAATGGTCCAGCGCCTTCACGCCCGTTGAGAGCCACAGCCAGTCAGGGGTGCCGGCAGTCATGTCCGAATCCAGGACGATCAGGTCGGCATACAGCCGGGGATGGCCCACCCGGATCTTGTGACCCGCACCATCGTCGAGGATATTGCCGCCACCCATGTTGAACTCACCCGCCGACAGTGTGGTCGGAATCGAGACCTGGAGCGGCAGCGGTTTGCCGTCGAGGTCGGGGCGAATCATCATTTCCTGCCGGTGTCCCTGCTCCCTGAGCTCCTCAACCGTGGTGATTCCCTCGGCCATCAGCACGGCGATCATCCGGGCCGCGTCTGAGATTGTGCTGCCGCCCACGCCGACCAGCGTGTCCGCCTCGAGGGACACCGCGAGGTTGGCGGCTTCTACCGCCGTTGCCAGCGGCGCCCGCTGGGTCAGGCCGGAGTAGACACCAACGGCGATATCCCCGAGAGCCTCATGCGTCCGGCGCACGGCGTCGGTCTGCTCCGCCACGGTGCGGCCCGACAACACCAGCGCCCGCTTCCCGCCGAGGGCTGCGACCTCGCTCCCCAGCGAGGCCGTCTTTCCCTGGCCGAAAATTACACGGGTGGGGACCGTGGGATTGAACTCGCCGTTCAGGCTGTCGTATGCGGTCATTGCCATTGCCCTCGATTCAGGATGGAGATCGGGTCCGCTATCCCTCGTTCCCGACGCGGGTTCGGTGTTTGGAGTGCTCCATTTGCAGAGCGTTTTTAGTCAGAGAGGGGAATGATGATCGCGAACCGTGGCTCGGTGCCCACAACGCGGGTCGAGTGTCCGGTCCCCGTGAGGTCCTCGGCCAACAGTACGGTGCCGGGGCCGTAGTGCTTGACGGTACCGTCCGGCGTGCCCACCTCGATATCTCCCGTCAGCGTGATGCTGTACTGGCGTCGCGGCGCGGTGTGGAAGTCGAGGAAGTAGCCCGGCTCGTAAACCCGAAAGCTGATTCCCGGGGTATTCATCACGGCCGTAGACAACCCGTGCGCCCCTTCGGAATCCACGAAACTCTGCATCTCGAATTCACGTTCCTCGACCACCGAGTGGCCATCGGCCCCGGTGTATACGTGGACAAAAGTTGCCATGATTCCTCCCGTGCAAATGCAATGTCCTTATCGGGAGTTATGGTACAGGAATTCGATAGGCCGTCAAGAAAGCGAAATCCAATGCCCGCTCACAAGGGCAGGCTCACAAAGACCAGCGCCTGACCGGCCAGGGCCGAGAGCACCACCACCAGCCAGGGCGGCCACTTCCACACAGCCAGGAGCGCCAGCGCCGCCAAGGCGAGTCCGAAATCCTCGGGGCCGTGAACGGCGCTGGTCCATACCGGGTCATACAATGCAGCCAGCAGTAGTCCCACCACCGCCGCGTTGATTCCTCGCAGTGCGCCGCCAAAGCTGGGCCAGGTGCGCAACCGGTCCCAGAAGGGAGCGGCGCCTATCACCAGGAAGAACGACGGCAGGAACATGGCTGCCAGCGCGAAAAGCCCGACTGCCCATCCTTTCAGTCCCCCCTCAACATCTATGGTCGTTCCCAGGTAGGCCGAAAAAGTGAATAACGGCCCGGGCACTGCCTGAGCGGCCCCATAGCCGGCGATGAACTCCTCCTTGGTGACCCATCCGGGCGGGACCACCAGTTCCTGCAATAGCGGCAAGACAACGTGACCTCCTCCGAACACCAGCCACCCAGCACGGTAGAAGCTGTCAAAGACCTGCAACAGTGCGCTGGCATCGCCTTCCAGGGTGCGCTGAAAGATGGGCAGTCCGATGAGGAGGACGAAAAACAGTCCCAGGCAAATGATGGCGACTGTGCGATTGACCCTGAACTGCGGCTCAGCTGCTGTAGCAACCTGGTCTGTTCGGAAGAACACCCACCCCGCACCCCCCGCCAGGGCGATGACCAGCAACTGTGCCCACCCGGTGGACCACGCCAGTACGCCGATGGTCGCGGCAATGGCAATGGCGGCGCGAGGGCGGTCGGGGCAAAGGTTTCCGGCCATCCCCCACACTGCCAGCGCCACCACCGCAACGGCCGCAGTCTTCAGGCCCCTGAGCCAGCCTGCGCTGTCGAGGTCACCATAGAACGCCACGCCGTAGGCGAACACGATCAGCGCGGCCGCCGACGGGGCAGTGAATCCTAGCCACGCCGCCATCCCCCCAGCCAGCCCAGCGCGCCGAATCCCCAGCGCTATTCCCACCTGGCTGCTTGCCGGCCCGGGCAGGAACTGGCCAAGAGCCACCAGGTCGGCGTAGGCTGGTTCGTCCAGCCACCTTTCGTTCGCCGCGGCATCATTTTCCTCTTCCTGCCGGAAGTATCCCGGTGTGCGACCACCGACCGCCGTAAAGTAATCATTTCACCTGAGGACACCCCATAATACTTCCAGAACCGATCCCGTGCTCCGGAGGTACCGCGCGTGGGTGACAGGGATTCAGATTCCACTCAGGGCGTTCTCCACCTTGTGCCGCAAGTGCCGAATCCAGAAACGCAAGATCGTGTCCGAGGGGGCGCTCACGAAGGAGCGCATCATCATCCAGTACACCCATCGACGCCTGATCCGGGATGGACGCGACGGGTCAAGCCAGGCCTCGTTTCTGGCCAGCTTTTCCAGGGTTGCCAGCCCCAGCAGGATTGGCCACAGAGCCGCCAGGCGTAGCCTGATGCTCCGGCGGGGCGTTGCGAGTAGATAAGCCTCAGCGGCTTCGAAGTGCTCAAGGGCGGTGCGGATCCACCGCGACTGGACGGCGCGGGCCGCTGGGGAATTGCCGGTCTCCAGCAGGTCGTCGGGCGACAGCCCGCTAGCTGCAAGGTCGCTCTCCGGCAGATAGCAACGACCGGAGCGAAGGTCCCTCGGCACGTCCCTCAACACGTTGGTCAACTGCAGCGCCTTGCCGAAGCGAATTCCCAGATCGCTCATCTCGTCAGATCGCCACCTAGACAAGAGTGGAGCGTGGGCAATCGCAATCGCAGTCCAGAATTCCCCGACGCAACCCGCGACCAGGTATGTGTAGCAGTTCAGCTGTTGCGGACTGTCCAGGTGTCCCAGCCGTCCCGAGTCCTCAGACGGAAACGTGGTGAGGTCCATTTCCATGCCGCGGGTGAGGGTTACTACCACACGCCTTGTCGCTTGCTGGTCTTCTTCAGGCAGGACCTCCAGCATCTCGAACAAACGCTCAACGTTGCTCAGAAGGTCCCTTTCCTTCTCCGACACTCCATGCGTGTACTGTCCGACGTCCTGAAGGAAAACGGCAGGCGCGTCCGGGGAAGGCATTCCCTCTACCCGGGCTCGGAAAGACAACAATTGCTCCAGCCTCTGGTGCGGAGGCAGAGCCCGTGTATCGGCTATTGTATCGGCTGCCCGCGCCAGCAGGTACGCCACCGCTACCGGCTCCCGCATACCCTCCGGCAGTATTCGGATGCTGAGGTAAAACGAACGGGAGACGCCCTTCAGCACATCTTCCAGGAGTTCGCGGTCGTTCACGTAACTACCAACCTGAGCAAGAAGGACAAGCTACCGAAATGGGTAGTCGTGCAGTAGAAGGACAGTCAACCAGCATTCCCACTTTCCAAGGGGAAGAGGGCCCGCTGACTGAAAGTCTAGATAATAAGGAGAGATGCCGAGGTTCTGGACGGGTATGCTGTCTCAGCCCCGTCATGAGTGTTCCTAAACGAGCCTCTGATACGGAGAAGGCACCAGTTCCCTGACAGAACCCGCTATGGCTTCCTCCACCATCTCGTCCACGGGGAGGCCCTCCTCAAGCCGTTCGACGGTAGCCAGCCGGGCACGGGTTTCGGGATGCTTGGGCACGAAAAGCGAGCAGCAGTCCTGGTCAGGCTGTATCGAGATGAGAAAGGTGCCAATTCCCCGGGCCATTCCGACGATCTCCTCTTTGTTCAGGCCGATAAGGGGCCTCAATACCGGCATGGTGGCTACATCATCGACCACGGCGATGTTCTCCAGCGTCTGGGAGCTCACCTGTCCGCAACTCTCACCGGTGATTAAGGCCTTGGCTCCGACCTGTTTCGCCAGCCCTTGTGCGATGCGCACCATGAACCGCCTATAAAGCAGCACCCGGTACGACGGAGGAGTCTCCACGATTATTCGCTTCTGAATCTCCGCCAGGGGGGCCAGCAACAGGTCCGACCGGCGCTGGTGGCGGGCCAGATGCTGCACCAGTTCCCCAGCCTTTTCGATCGACGTTCGGTCGACCAGGGGATAGCTGTGGAAATGAATATAGCTGGCCGTGCAGCCTCTCTTCATCATATGCCAAGCGGCGACCGGCGAGTCAATCCCGCCCGACAGCATCACCGCGACCCGCCCGCTGGCTCCCACCGGCAGACCGCCGTGAGCTGGGACCTCTTCGAAGTAGAGAAGGATGCCCCGGGTCTGGATATCCAGGTAAATGGTCAGGTCAGGATTGGAGAGATCAACGCGAGCCCCAGTCAGTTCCTCGACAAATCTTCCCAGGTCCCGGTTCACCTCCGGAGATGTCATGGGGAACCGCTTGTCGGCGCGGTTGGTCTCTATTTGGAAAGAGCTGAATGTGTGGCTCTCCAACAACCCCGGCAGGGTTTCCTTGATCATATCCAGGTCTTGGGGAAACTCGCGGGCCAGGAAGAATTTCGCCACGCCGAAACATTCCCGTACTCGTTTTTTGACCTCGGGCCAGGCGCCTTCATCCTCCAGCGTCAGGCCAACCATCAGCTGTGCTTGCCATACGCGGGACACGCCGGAGTCCTGAGTGGCATTGCGGAGGTTTTCGGTCAAGCGACGCATGAACCATGGCCGGTTCTTGCCCTTCAGCGCCAACTCGTGGGTCTTTACTATGACGTGGGTTTTCACACAGCCATTTTACACAACGGAGAGGCAAGGCGCAGAGCCGATCTCCGTACGCCCGGTTCTTCAGCATCAAAAGACCCTCTCACCGTAATGAGAGGGTCGAAAGATTCACGAGTAGGGCGCCTCAGGCGAAAATCGACTCTTTGATAGCCTGAACGTCGTGCCGGAGTTCAGTGTCCTCGTTAATTTCTCCGTTGATCTTGCCGGCGCCATGAATGATCGTGGAGTGATCCCTTCCTCCGAGCAGCCTCCCCACCTGCGTTGGGGGCAGGCCAATCTCGTGGATCAGAAGATACATCGCCACCTGCCGCGGCACCGACACCGTGCGCTTGCGGCTACGGGCCAGCAGGTCGTCGACCTTTATCCCGAAGTAGGTTGCGACCTCCGACAATATTCTCTGCGGATCTATGGAATCCCGGGCTTGGTCAGGTTTGAAATCGTTTAATAGCCGCTCGGTGGTGTCCAGCGTCAGATCAACGTTCATCATCTGTGAGTAAGCAACCATCCGGTTCAGGCTGCCTTCCAATTCCCGCACGTTTCTCTGAACGCGCTTGGCTATCAGCTCAAGGACGGCGTCCTCAAGGCCAACGTGCATCTCGTCCGCCTTGCTGGCCAGGATGGCCATACGGGTCTCAAGGTCGGGCGGCTGGATGTCGGCGATCAGGCCCCATTCGAACCGGGAGCGAGCCTCTCCTCCATCAGCGGCAACTCGCGCGGCGGTCGATCGGACGACACGACCACCTGGTGGCCCGAATTGTGGATGTCGTTGAATGTGTGAAAAAAGCCCTCGTGCGTCTGTTCCTTACCGCTCAGGAACTGAACATCGTCCACCAGCAGCATCTGCACCGACCGATATCGCTTGCGAAAGTCCTCGGTAGTGCGGCTGCGAATGGCTGCGATGAATTCGTTGGTGAACTGCTCGGAGGTTACGTACAGGACAGACATGCCCCGCGTGGCGCAGGTCCGCCCGATTGCCTGCAACAGGTGGGTCTTCCCAAGTCCAGCTCCGGAATACAGGAACAGCGGATTGTAGGTAACGCCCGGCGCCTCTGCCACCGCGTGGGCGGCGCTGAAAGCCAGCCGGTTGGAGGGCCCCACCACGAACGACTCGAACTGGTAGCGCGGGTTCAGCGAGCGAAACTCGAACAGCGGCTGATTCGCCTCCTGCGGCACGCCTGGCGGCATCTGGGCCCGTTCCACCGCGTAGGTGATTCCCTGGGAACGGACCTGCAATTCCAACTGCAGTGTTTGCCCCGCCACTTTGTCCAAGGTCCGCTGGAGAGCGTGAAACATTCGCTTTTCCAGCCACTCCACGGCAAATGTGGTGGGCGCTTCTACTATAAATATCTGTCCGTCTTCAGCAACTCCCTCTGTTGGTTTTAGCCATGTCTCGAATGTGGGCCTTGGTACTTGCAATTGAAGGTCACCGAGAACTGCCCGCCAGACCTCTTTGGCTGATGCGCCTCTAGATCCTGACAACACTTCTATCCCCCACCACTTCAGATTCAAATTTGGGCCATGAGGCCCGAAAAAAGGCAAAAATACTCCTCGGACAAAAGACCGCTTAGGAAAAAATGGGACCGAATTTGGTAACGTGGCGCCTGTCGACTTATGGCTGGCCAAATCTCTCCGAAACCAGCCTTGCGCTGGAATTCCGGAGTACTCCGCCGGCATACTCAATCGTCTTGTCAGAGCCTACATATCGGTCATCTCGAAGCTGCCACATCAAAGCGATGACCGCAACGTAGCAATATAGGTCGAAGGCTGTCAACGGGAATATCCCCAAAAACCTCCATCAATCTCCAACATTTCACTCGTGTTTTTTGACCAAATTTTAAACTTCCATGAAGCCTGTATTTGATCCTTTTCAGAGACTGTTCAAGACATCGTTTGCGGATGGCCGTCAAGCCTGGTTCCTGCGGACAGTCCGATGCACGCGAAATCCCTCGCCACAAAACCCTTGTGCCCGGCTACGCGGATTTGCGGCTCATTAAGGCGTTGGCTATAATTGACTGGGTTGCATCAGGGGCCGGGAAATGGCCCCGATTCCATTATTTCCACTCGATCTATGCCTCGACTATCCGGCCGGAACCTCTTGAACAACCTCCCGGCCGGAGCACGGGAGACGCAATGCCACCTCGCAAGCCTCGCGCCAGAGTCAATGCCAGTAACAACGGAGGCGCAACCGTCGCGGAGGCCGCCCCCCAATTGCCCGGAGGCCTCACGGCAGACGATCTTACCGACTTCTATCGGCGCATGGTTCTGTGCCGCACCATTGATGAACGTATCTGGGCGCTGAACCGGCAGGGTAAAGTCCCCATCGCGGCCTCCAGCCAAGGGCATGAGGCCGCCCAGTTGGGCAGCTTGCTGGCCGCCGAAAAGGACGGCAACTGCTTTTTGTTCCCGTACTATCGGGACCTGGCGCTGAAGTTCGCCGCCGGGTTGACTGCGGAGCAAGTCATGCGGTCGTTCATGGGGAAGGCTGGGGACCCGTACAGCAACGGTCGCCAGTTTCCGCTGCAGGGTGCCGACCTGCCCCACAACATAATCCAGATATCCAACGTCGTCGCCGCAGGGCTGACCCAGTCGGTGGGCTATGCAATGGCCTGCAAGATGCGGGATGAGGGAACGGTAACGCTGGTCTACTTTGGTGACGGCGCATCAAGCCAGGGAGAGACCCACGAGGCCATGAATTTCGCCGGCGTGCACCGGTTGCCGGTCGTCTTCATCTGTGAAAAACAATCGCTACGCCATTTCAGTGCCTCAACGCAAGCAGATGAGCATCGAGGAAGTGGCCAGCAGGGCCGCAGGGTACGGATTCCCCGGCTTCACCATTGATGGCATGGACTTCATCGGCTGTTACGAAGCCAGTCGGGAGGCCATAAGCAGCGCCCGGGAACAGGGCCCTGTGCTGCTGGAAATGAACGTGGAGCGGTTCACGTCCCACACCACCGACGACGACGACCGCCGCTATCGCCCTGCGAATGAGGTGGAGCAGGCAAGGCTCCGAGATCCCGTGGTGACCTTCGGCGCCCTGCTGATGGAACACGGTGTGATGACCCAGGAGGAGATCGACGAAGCTGCGGCCAATGCCCTGGCCGCCGTTGATGCCGCAACGGACGCCGCCGACGTCGCCAGCCCGCCCGACGTTTCCACCCTGCATGCCCTGGTCTACTCCGGTTAGTGCGCTTCTGCCCCGGGAAACCACGAGCGTAACTTTCCTCAATGGGAAACGAAAAACTGAGGAGTCTTGATCCGTGGCTGTGAAAAGCGTCATTGAAGCCGTCCGGGAAGCGCTGCGGGAGGAAATGCAACGCGACCCCACCGTGTTCGTCATGGGCGAGGACGTGGGAGCCCGCGGAGGCGTATTCCTTGCCACGCAAGGGCTGCTGGAAGAGTTCGGAGAAGACCGGATTATTGACACCCCCTTGGCCGAAGCGTCCATCGTTGGCATCGCTCTGGGCGCGGCCTTCCGCGGCCAGAGGGCAGTGCCCGAAATCCAGTTTTCTGACTTCGTGTGGCCCTCGATAAACCAGCTCATCGGTGAGGCCGCCCGCACCTGTTACGGCACCAACGGCGCGGTCGAGGTACCGATGACCGTTCGCATCCCCTACGGCGGCGGCATTCGGGGAGGCCTGTTCCACTCCCAGAACGTAGAGACGCACTTCTTCCACACCCCCGGACTAAAGGTGGTCACTCCCTGCACCCCATACGATGCCAAGGGCCTGCTCAAGAGCGCGATCCGCGATAATAATCCGGTGGTATTCCTAGAGCACAAAAAGACCTACCGCCTGGTGCGCGGAGAGGTGCCTGATGGCGAGTACACGCTCCCTATCGGCAAGGCCGACATCAAGCGGCCAGGCAGCAACGTAACGGTGGTCAGCTATGGCCTGACTCTGCACTACTGCTTGGAAGCCGCGCAGGAAGTCGCCGCGGAAGGTGTCGACGCAGAGGTGGTGGACCTTCGTACCCTGTCACCGTTGGACAAGGAAACAATACTGTCTTCGGTTCAAAAGACGGGAAAGCTCCTCATCGCCCACGAGGACAACGTCACCGGGGGAATCGGGGCTGAAATCGCGGCCCTGGTGGCCGATGAAGCCTTCGAGTACCTCGATGGCCCCATCGTCAGGGTCTGCGGCCCGGACGTTCCGACCATGCCCTTCGCCCAAACGCTGGAGGACGCCTACATTCCCGACACTCCAAAAATCGCTGCAGCTCTGCGTCGGCTGGCGGCCTACTGATCGAGGTTTTTCCTCTCCCCCGCTGGAGCGATAACTTTATTTAGGCGAGTGGTGAGCAATTGTCGGTAACGGTAGAACTTCCTCACGTAGGCGAATCGGTGGTCGAGGGCACCATCGGCAAATGGCTGAAACAGCCGGGCGACTCCATACGCCGCTTCGAGCCATTGGTGGAGGTCGTAACAGACAAGGTGACCATGGAGGTGCCGTCCCCCGTCGAGGGTGAGCTTCTGCGCATCCTAGCCGCCGAGGGAGATACCCTCCCTATGGGCACACCCATCGCCGAGGTAGGAGAACCCGGGGAGACTCCGTCTGCGGAAATTCCGTCTACTTCCGCTGCTCCTGCACCCCAGGCGGAACCTGCGGCTGCGCCTCCCGTGAGCACCACCGGCTACCTGCTCCGGGACGTCACCCCCGTTGGGCCTACCGGTGGCGCCGCCATCGAAGCCTCAGAACCCATGGTTGGCATAGGGGCGCAACCCGCTCCTTTCCAACCACCACCGCCGCCTGCACCTGCGGTCGCCCCCGCAGCCGTGGCTCCAATAGCTTCCGCGCAGTCCGTTTCCCCCGTTGACGCCAGTCGCCCTCGCCTCTCGCCCGCGGTGCGAAGGCTCGCCCGCGAGAACTCGGTTGACCTGACCCAGCTCCACGGCACCGGCCTCGGCGGTCGCATCACCCGCGACGACGTTCTGCGCTACCTGGCGGAACCCAGCCCTGCCCCGGCTCCTGCCTCCGCTGCCGCCATACCCACTGCCGCTCCCGCACCCTCGGTCGAGCCCGGACCCGACGATGAGCGGGTGCCCCTGACACCGGTGCGTCGGATGATCGCCGAAGCGATGGTCCGCAGTGTCACCGAAATCCCGCACGCCTGGAGCATCAAGGAAGTCGACGTCACCGGCCTGGTGGCCCTTCGTCAGAGCGTTCGGTCTGACTTCGAGCGCCAGGAGGGCGTTTCCCTCACCTACATGCCTTTCGTTATTCAGGCGGTCGTGGAAGCCTTGCGCAAGGTGCCATCGATGAACGCCACCTGGGGTGGCGACTCGATAATCCTGAAACGGCGCATCAACCTTGGCCTCGCGGTGGCCGCACCCAACGGTCTGATCGTCCCGGTGGTCCACAACGCCGACCGCCTCAACATCGCCGGACTGGCCCACGCCGTGCAGGACATCACCGAGCGCGCCCGCATCAACCGCTTGGCCGTCGGGGACGTCCAGGGTGGGACATTCACGCTGAACAACACTGGCGCCCTTGGGGGATCGCTGGTCTCTGGCCCCATCATCAACTACCCGCAGGCGGGCATCATAACCACCGAGACTATCGAAAAGCGTGCCGTGGTCAGAAACGACGCCATCGCCATCCGCTCCATGATGAACATCTGCCTGTCCTTCGACCATCGCATCAACGACGGAGCGGAGGCCAGCGCATTCCTGGAGACGGTCAAGACCCGCCTGGAGTCATTCGGCCCAGACTCGCCCGTCTACTAGGCTGGCGTCACCAGCCTTATGCCTCGTCCGGAGTTCTGCCGCTTCGTCTGGCTGGGGACGGTCGAATACCTCGCCGCCAGGGCCCTGCAGGATTCCCTGGTTGAACAGGTGCACAATGGCGACTCGCCCGCGACCCTGCTGTTGCTGGAGCACCCCCACGTCTACACCCGCGGACGTTTGAGTCGCGACGAGCACCTCCTTTCCTCGGAGGCAGAGTTGGCGGCTAGCGGCATCCCCGTATACGAAACTGACCGGGGTGGCCAGATCACCTACCACGGCCCAGGACAGCTTGTAGGCTACCCGATCGTGAACCTGCGAGATTGGGGAGGCCCTCTTAAATACGTCCGAACGCTGGAGCAGGTGATCGTCGACACTCTCGGCGACTTCGGTATCGATGCCCACACCGAACAGGGCCTTACCGGCGTCTGGACTCCAGGAGGCAAGATTGCCGCCATCGGGGTAAAGATCGCCCGGGGTGTGGCCTTCCACGGATTCGCCATCAACATCAACACCGACCTCTCCAACTACCGCCACATCGTCCCCTGCGGCATAACCGACCGCCCGGTAACCTCGATGGCGGTGGAACTGGGCGAGGACACAGACGCAGAAGCGGTCCGCTACAGCCTCGTCTATCGGTTTGCTCGCAATATGGGAATGAGAATGGTGGAAGGTTCGCCGGAATTTGTATCGTAGATCGCCTGACGCCAGCAGGCCCACTATGCGTCCGCACTGTATGGAACAGGAGCGTTCACTCCAAATAAACCCACAGCTCCGGACTCGCACAACCTTCGCTGAAATCCGACTACCGCTTTGTTCCTCTTGTACTGTCCATACCCCAGTCCAACCTATTCCCATTGGCCAATCTTCTGACAGAAGCCCCTTGCCAAGCCTCATGGCACATCCCTACTATCAATTGTAGTGGGCCAGAACGCCCGCAGACCCAAAATGGAAACGGACAAATCAAGTGAACCGGTGGCCGACCACCCCGACCCGACAAGTGGGCAGCGCCGCCAACCCTGGGAGCAGTCGAAAGTGAGCGGAAATGAGCGGATTTGAACGGATATACAAAATTCTTGCTACGAGAGCATAACGGAGACGTGTAGCCCTGCCGGGAAATAGGGGCACTGTGCCCGCGCCTCCACCTCTGGCGAAATGCTCCCAAAGACCCCCAGATGCCTGGGCGTATTTTTGACACTCCCGTTGGCCCGTTGCTACACTCGCCCGCAGACTCGCATCGCTGGAGGCCATCCCATGGCGGTATCACAGAAGATTCGGCAGTACATGGCGGAGGGCGGATGGATACGCCGGGTCTTCGAGGAGGGGCTGGCCCTCAAGGCCCAGATCGGCGCCGAAAAACGTATTCGACCTCTCCCTCGGCAACCCGGTGATCGAACCACCGGCCGAGTTCAAGGACGAGCTGCGGCGCCTTGCCAACGAGCCCATGGCCGGGATGCATCGCTACATGCCCAACCCGGGCTACCTCGAAACCCGGCAGGCGGTGGCCGGTACATTGGCCGAAGAGAGCGGCCTGCCCTTCGAGGGTGGCGATATCGTGATGACCTGCGGAGCCGCCGCCGCCGCCAACGTGGTGCTCAAGACCATTCTTAACCCAGGCGACGAGGTCATCATTCTCGCGCCGTACTTCTTTGAGTACCTTTTTTACATCGACAACCACGGCGGCGTGGCAATCGTGGCCAACACCACCGATCGTTTCCGGCTCGACCTTTCGGCCATCGAACAGGCCATCACGCCCCGCACACGGGCCATCGTCGTGAACTCGCCCAACAACCCCTCGGGCGTGGTCTACTCCGCCGACGAAATTGTCGGCCTGTCTGATCTGCTGAACCGCAAGCAAGCGGAGCACGGGACTGAGATATTCCTGATCAGCGATGAACCGTACAAGCGCATCATCTTCGACGGTATGGAGTTTCCACAGCTTCTGCCGTCTTACGACAACTCCATCATCGTGACCTCCCACGCCAAGGACCTTGCACTGCCGGGTGAGCGCATCGGCTTCATCGCCATCAATCCCAACTACCCCGAGAAAGAGGAGCTCGCCGGCGGCTTCAGCTTCTGCAACCGCACCCTCGGCTTCGTCAACGCGCCGGCGCTGATGCAGCACGTCGTTCGCAACCTGCAGGGCGTCAGCGTCGACCCGGACTACTACCAGCGCAAGCGGGACTTTATGTACACCGCCCTCATGGAAATGGGCTACGACACGGTCAAGCCCGAGGGTGCCTTCTACCTGTACCCCAAGGCACCGATCGAGGACGACGTTGCCTTTACCAAGGACTTGCTTCAGTCGAACGTGCTCGTCGTGCCTGGCCGTGGCTTCGGAACGCCCGGTTACTTCCGCATCTCCTACTGCGTAGAGGACTGGGTGCTGGAAGGCGCCGTTGAGGGGCTGGCAAAGGCCGTCGCCGCCTAGGACCTACAGGCAGGACGAAAGAAATGTGGGAGCGCATTTAGTGCGCTCCCACTCGTCTTTTCCGCGCGTGGAGTCCCCCGTCTAAGCGCCCTGCGCTGCCAGCACCCTCTCCGGCGTCCTTGGCTTGGGTATCACCAGATAGCTGACTGCCGCCATCGTGTAGATTACTGCCAGCGGAACAAGCGCCCAATAATAGCTGCCTGTGCTGTCGTAGATGAATCCCATCCATACGGGGGTGCTCATGGACATCATCTGATCAGGCAGATGTTGCCATCCACGCAGCGTGGCATAGCTGCGGCGTCCAAAGAAGTCGCCCATTATCGCCCACGCGAGTGGATTGGCGGTTTCCGACACGGCCAACAAGACCACGAACAGGGAGGCTTGCCACAATGCGCCGCTGTGATTGAGCAGCATCAGCACTGACAGCGCACCCCCTATCATGGCTACCGAGCTCAACCGTTGCTTTGACCAGGTGTCGCCCAGCCAGCCGACGATGGGATTCATCACCAGAGAACTCAGCGAAAGAAGTCCCACCAGCAGGGCCGCCAGACGCACGCTGTCGTCTTCCATTCGACCTGAGCCCATCAGGAACCAAATGATGACCGGCGCCAGTAGAAACTGCATCCCGGAATGAACTGTGTTGCGCAGTCCAACGGCCCACACCAGCAACCAGAAGGCGGGTGTCTTCATGGCCTCGAGGGCGGTGAAGTCGGGTTCGCCGGGCGATGCCCGGAATGTATGAGCATGGACCTTGGGCTGGGGTGTTTCTGAGGGAGGATACGGGGGTATAGCGGCCGGTTTCACGCCATCGGGCAGAAGGCCCTTCTCTTCAGGGGAACGATACACGAAGAAGGCCAGGGGCAAGACCACAGCCAGTATGCCTGCGCCGGAAATGAAGGCCGTATTGCGCCATCCGATTTCATAGACCAGCAGCCCCACCATCGGCGCGATGAGGATGCCACCCAGCGGACTACCCATCCCGGCGACCGCCATGGCCAGGGCCCGATGGCGACGGAACCATTGATTGATGGCCGGCATCAGTGCGTTGTTGTATCCGGCGCGGAACCCCAGCGAGAGCAAACCTATGAATACCAGGAGAAAGTACACATAGCTGCTGGTCAGGCCCAGCAGGATAAACCCCAACCCTGACGTGCCGCCGCCCAACACCATGATGAACCGCGGGCCAAACTTGTCGTTCAGCCAGCCCATGAGAGGACCCTGAAGCCCGCCCTCCAGGCGCCCCAGCATTTCCGCCAGGGACACGATAGCCACACCCACTCCGAGTTCCTTGCTTAGAGGGTTGACGTAGAAGGTGAAGCCCCGATTGAAAGTGCCATGCTTGAGGGCGTCGGCAGCGGCGGAAATGGAAACGATCCACCAGCCGTAGAATACTCTTTGTGGCAGTTCAATCAGTCTTTTTGCCTGGGAAGCGAGCAAGGACTGAGCAATCCTCCAGCATTGTGCCGAATGTGTTTCTTATGGCCGTGAAATCGTTCTTGGCAAAGGCCCTTGTGCCGAAAAAAGCATTCCGGCCCGGAGCCAAACGCCGGGCCGGAAAGGATCTGAGTCAGTTGTACCCTAGCTGTCGAGGTTGATTACGATGTTGTCTGGGCCGCGGGACAGCACCGCTTCGGCGGGCTCATCGTAAGGGTTGCCCTCTATGTGGTCAAAGTGGGCAGGAACGAAAATAAAATCTCCGGGGCCCGCCTCCAGGTATTCCTTGAACCCCTCGCCGTAGTAGACGCGGATGTGGCCCTTGAGTACATAGGCTGCGGTCTCTGCCTCGCCGTGATTGTGCGGCGGCCCCATGGTATTTGGAGTGCATTCCACATGCCCCAGCCATATCTTTTCGGCGCCGGCAGTGTTTCCGTCTATTCCGGGCTTGCGAATCATCCCCGGGGTTTGGGCCGTGGTTTCGGGAGAGCCGACGTCGTGTACGACTTTCAACTCTCTGCCTCTGGTAGAGGTGCTCATACCGCCTCCGTTATTTGCAGTCGCGTCAGGAGAAATCAGCGGTCGTCTTTTGACCGCGAAGGCTATCATACTGCGCAGCCATGAGAGCGGCAACCCGCCGGGCGCGCCATTGGGCCCAAGAGGCTCTTCGACGGGCACTCATCCCACGGGCTGCCGTGGAAGTAAACCAATGGCCGAGCGCACGGGCGGCACGGCCATTTGATTCCTCTCCCCAGCCTGCGCGGCTGCATCAGCTGGGAAATGGTCGAGCGACAACACCCTGGCAGGCACACACGATGAGAGAGGATCCGCCGCTCTGTGAACACGTGAAACCAAGGACGTGCCAAGCTCCTGGCCCGCGGCGACGGTGCAATTTCGCCTGAAAGCTACCCGACCATTATCATCCCCAAATTCACTTTGGCGATTGCGCAACGCACCTGTTAAACCTTGGAAATATCCTTGCATATTCTTGCTCGGACTAGGGTACCATGGTACCATTATCTGCCTCTCCAGACCTACGCAACAAGACCTCTCGAGGCGGTAGCCTTAGAGGCCTTCGCGTGTAAATGAAAACATTATGTAGAGAGGCTCATCGACAAGCGATTATCGATGAGGCCATTGTCAGGCCTTGGAGTACCAATGCAGCATGATCCAACACTTGGAGAGGGAACTCCCCCCGAGCCACCATTAAACGCAGGGTACTCCGGAGGCCAGCATCTCGCGGAAATCGACAAGCTCCAGCGTGAAAATCAGTCCTTGAGAAGCCAGCTCACCAAGTTGAGCGAGGCCAGCTACAGGATAATTCAAGGACCCGATCTCGATTCTCTTTTCCAGGAGATTGTCGAAAGCGCGCGCGCCTTGACTGGCGCCAGATATGCCGTCCTTCTGACCTATGACAGCTCCGGGAATGTGAATAGTGCCGTGACCTCCGGGATCTCCCCCGAACAGATAAACAGCATCGGGAATTCCCCGGTGGGTCTCGGACTCTTGGGTTACTTGAATGAGGTCAATGGCCCGGTAAGGATAGCCGACATTTCAGCTCACCCAATGTCCATAGGTTTCCCTCAAAACCACCCTCCAATGACCACCTTCTTGGGCATGAACATATCGCACCAGGGAGAGCACATCGGCAACCTGTTCCTCACCGAGAAACTGGAGAGCACCGAGTTTACCTCTGGGGACGAAGAAATCCTCGTAATGTTCGCCTCACTGGTGGCCCAGGCCATTTCTAACGCTCGCCGGTACCAGGAGGTCAACCTAGCAAAGACGGACATGGAGACGCTGATCGACATCTCTCCCATGGGCGTGGGTGTCTACGATGCAAAATCCGGCGTAATGGTTTCCTACAACCAGGAAATGCGGCGTATCGTCGGCGAAGATGTCGATTTGACTGTCAACGACATCGAACCCCTCATGCAATTGCTTTCCTTCCGAAGGCCCGACGGTCGCCCTATTCCCCTTCCCGAAACCCCAGTCGCTCACGTCATGATGACCGGGGAGACGGTTCGGGCAGAAGAGATCATAGTCGAGTTCCCCGACGGGCGATCAACTACGACCCTGGTCAATGCGGCACCAATTTTTGCCGAGAACGGAGAGATCGCGTCGGTCGTGGTGGCTGTGCAGGATATGGCCCCACTGGAGGATCTAGAAAAAGTTCGATCCCAGTTTCTAGGCTTGGTCAGTGAGGAACTTCGTGCGCCTCTGGTCACAATCAAGGGTTCAACGGCTGCGCTCCTCGAAATTCTCCATCCGCCGAATGCTACCGAATCGCTCCAATTCTTGCGGATCATAGACCAGCAGGCCGACCTGATGCGGTCGCAGATCAACAGTCTGATCGAATTGACCAACATAGAAGCGGGGACCCTGTCGATCTCCACTGAACTGGCAAACGTGTCTGACCTAGTGGCATTGGCGGCCGGGGAGTTCCAGCGAAGCCATGCTGGAGCGGTCGTCGATGCCCGCATCCCTTCTGGAATGCCGCTGGTAATAGCCGATCGCGAGCGAATATCCCTGGTTATGAAGAACCTGTTTTCAGAGATTTCCAGATCTTCACCCACTTCCTCCAAGGTCCAGGTTTCCGCTGCGTCGCTCGATATCTACGTTGCGATCACCGTGTCATTCGACAGCAAGACCGCTCCGGGAGAGACATTCGTCGGGCGCTCAATCCACTCCTCGGTAAGCGGAGTAGACCGCGCTATTCCGGACAACGCTGGTCCGGATCTGGCCTTCGCCTTCTGCAGGGGAATCGTGGAGGCGCACGGCGGAAGGATACGGGCGGAGCGGGGCGAACGGGGCTTCGGAATGGTATACACCTTCACCCTGCCAGCCGCCGACGAGTCAATGGAGCCGACCCGGCAAACGACGGAGGAGGCCGCGTCCTATAACGGTGAACCGGGAAATCAGCCAACGGACAGGGCAACGATCCTTTTGGTCGTGCCCGACGGACGAACCTTGGGAACCGTGCGCCGGACACTCTCAGATGCAGACTTCTCCACCATAGCGGCTTCTGAACTTGGCGAAATCGACCGCCTCTTCGAGCAGGAGAAGCCGAACATTGTGCTTTTGGACCTTTCAAAGTCAGAACAGGCAGGGATGCGCCTAACGCAACGGCTATCCCGTGATCTGAACGTCCCCGTCATTGTTCTGTCCGAGAAGGGCGAAGACAACAACGTCGCTCGTGCCTTCGAAATGGGAGCGGACGACTACCTCGTAAAACCATTCTCACCCACTGAACTGGTCGCGAGAATCAAGTCGTCACTCAGGAAACATTCCGCTTACCAGAGAGGGCCGGATGTGTCGTCCGGGTATTCGTTGGGAGAAGTGTCCCTCGATTTCGCCGGTCGCACGCTCACCGTCTCAGGGACTACCGTGCAGTTGACGGCCACAGAGTTCAAGCTGCTCTTCGAACTTTCCGGAAACGCCGGTCGCGTACTTACCCAGGATGAACTGCTCCATCGCGTCTGGGGGCCGGAGTACACAGGAGAACCCCAGTTGCTTCGCTCGTACGTAAAGTCCCTGCGACAGAAACTGGGGGACAACGCCAGGAACCCAACCTATATTTTCACTGAACACGGCATTGGTTACCGGATGGCGAAGCAGTAGCTCCTGCTGCAGCGACAAATCCCACTTCGAACGACAAATGGGGATTCGGCAACCATCGAGGCGCGTTCGGCCGTCCGGGCGCGCCTCGTCCTTTGGGATTCCGGCCCCGGCGTCAACTCACTCGCAATCAGCCTCCCGTCCCGACAATTGGGCCGACGGAATGGCAATTCGCATTTGTATTGGTTATCATTGTGCGCCTTGAGCAGAGGTGAGTTGACCTCCAGCCAATTGCCCCGCTCTCCCCATATTCATCGCCGAACTGTCAGACACTGTTCCTGAAAAGGCCAACGCCATACAACAACCACGCAGCATACCCCGGCCAAGAGCTCTGGACGCCTGGTTCAACTACCGGGACTTCCGCTTCCTCTGGTTCGCCAATTTTTGTGCCAACACCGCAATGTGGGTGCAGTTGCTCACCGTGGGATGGCTGGTCAAG